CCACAAGTCTGTCATATACAGTATTTTTTTTGCTTTCAATTATTCACTTCCAGTATTTAGAAATATGATAGAGTTTTGTGTTTTGAACTTGTATCCCAGAATGTGACTAAACTCACTGTTACAGACCTAACTGTATCCCTTCAAAATTCATATGTTGAAGGTCTAATCCCATCATCTTGGTTGAATTTAAATAGTTTGTGGTTTTCAAGAAATTGGTCCATTTCACCCAAGTTGCTGAATTTATATATGTGGAGTTGTTCATAGTATTTATTTACCATCCTTTCAATGCTGTGGGGTCTGTGGTTGATTCTCTTTTAAACACATCCCACAAAGAGGCACATTAAGTTGATTCTTGTGACTTCTCCACTTGCTAATAACATTCTCTTATGGTCTTTGGATTTTACATGTCTTTAAAGATTATAAATGGATTTGCAACAGGAGTGGCATCTTTAGATACCAAATATAGGGTGATGGTTGATTTCTCTGGTATGTGGGTCTTCTGCTGCTGTCAGGACCCCATTCCCCAGCCTGGGAGAGCTCCCGCCAGCTAGCTCCCAGGAAAAGACTAATACAAGCTTAGCCACTTGTTTTCAGTTCTTCCTCCCATGTCTTGAACCTCCCCCTCCTATCAGAGGCAAGAGATGAAAGCACAGTACTTCTCTCTTAGAAAACCTTCAACCCTGCCTTAACATTGTTTCCAAGTCCTTATTTAGTATTTTGGAGAGAAGTTTGGAAGAAATTAATAATTTGGTTATCTGTTATCATTTCTTCTTGGGAATCACTTCTCAGAATAGCTAAACCTGTTTCCTACAGTGAGGAAGGGGCACAGGGATTGCCTTCCTGTCACAGATCAAGAAGCTCTGTTCCTTTAAAGTAGGTGTCATTTATAGAAAGCCTGCAATACAGCTGGTTGTTATAGATTTTATCTTTATTGCTAATAATATCAGGGTGGGGATTCTTATTTTCATTTCATGGACAAGAACAATGAGGCTAAGAGATGTTCAGTTCAAGAGTTTTTCATGCTTCTGGTTGGCTGTCTGACCCTGAGAAAATGACTTAATGAGTAACTAAGTCTCAGTTTCTTCACTTGTAAAATAAAGATACTAATATAACTTACAGGGTGTTTAAGAATTAAATATGTCTGGCACACAGTAAGCGTTCAATAAATGTTGCCATCATACTTGCTGTTATACTTATACCATATATTATTTATTTGAAACTTGTTTATAAGAAAGCATGTTCTGAATTTGTACTAAATCATTTTTAAAATTCACAATTATTGAATACGAAAAAATAAAGCCATTTGCTTTCAATCAGGAAAATCTTGACTAACCAGAACTGCACAGATTAATCCCGAAGTTAACTGATTTTTTTTTTGGTGCCTTCAGATCAGGTTAATAAGAAATGAGCAGGGCATATTTAAAATGACAGCCTCAGCATTCTACAGAGAAAGTAGACTTCTCTCTTCCTGCCCACATTCTTGGTCCTAAGCCGAACCTGGCTGGTCAGAGCCTTCAGCATCCCAGACAGCCTTGCCTGGGTGCATTAGGTTTACCAAGGCAGGAAATGGGCTGATGTATTGTGCAAGATAGGATTTTGGTTCCCATTTCTCTCCTCTCTTCTTTTGTCATGTGACCTCGCATTGCTTCTCAATAGGGTAGGTGAGGCAGATGTCCTCACTCACCTGGGTGTGGCCATCTGACTTGATTCGGCCAATGAAATGTGAGCAAGTGATGCTAGCAGATGCCTTATGGTTTGGCTTGGATGCTTTGCTTCTGTCACCTGCCATCTGCAATGAGAAGAATATGCTTTGGGTGGCTGTTGGTTCTGCCAAGTGAAGACATGTGGAGTGGACATGAACTCCACTGTGGCTCAGATTCAAGCCCAGCTGATCCCTGCAGAGCCATGGGGCCTGAGACCCCTGAGCAAGGAAAGGAACATTCATTATAAGTTACTAAGCTCTTGAGATTGTTATGCAGCAAAAACACTAATTACACGTTATTTTGGTGACTTTTCAACAAAAAGAATTAAAATCTATTGTGTGTGTTGATAGGAGGGACTAGGTATTTCACAGACACCTTATCAGGAAATCCATTTAATCAAGTAAAGGGTATAAACTGACTCCACAGCACTCAGGTAGAAGACACATCAGGTGTCTTTATATTTTGTAAATTCACTAACCCACTTTTTGAGTTGGTGGGAAATTCCATCTCAGGCATGTTTTTGAGGTCCCTGCCCTCCTTGGGTGGTAAGGAGGTACTAGTGGCTCATGACTGCTGCTGTGAAGTATCTTGTCTGAGGCCACTGGGGAGCCTTCCCATCATGTGGCCCCACTTTCCTCCTTTGTGCTGAGTTTGTCCAGGCACCACTGCCGAGGCCCCAAGAGTGTAACCTAGGGAAGTTCTTCTCATACTCGAATGTGAACACAAGGCACTTGCTGTTTTGTTAAATACAGATTTTATTCAATGTTTCCGAGAGGAGCCCCAGATTCTGCATTTCAGATATGTTCGCAGGTGATGGTCATTGTTGCTCATGGACCACACTTTGATAAAAAGACCCAAGAGTCCCCTAGAGTCCCGCCTCCCCCAGCCCTCTGAGAAGCCATTCTTCCTTATGGACACTTGAAAACTGGGGCTCAGGTCTCCAGTACATGTGGGCTGCCCCCCTCACCAAACTGCATACCTAATCCCACCCCTCAAGGTGGGGCCATACCTTCTGCCCTGTGTCACTTATTCGCTGGAAATTTTCTCTTTTCAGATAAAGAGCCCCACAGCCCTCTGAGCTTCAGACTTAGAAACCAAAGGCTGGATCCTTCTCTTCTTTGCCAAGGGCATCACAGATCTCCAGGACTCCTGGCAAAGGAAAAAATTAACTCTATTGGCACTAATTGTAATAGGAACAAGGCTGAATTAACATCTCAATAAACGATCCAGCTACAAGGGGAACAGCCCGTTCCCTGCACTGTCAGTGAGAGGATACTGTTTTGGAGACAGGTCCTTTTCTCACCCTGATAACCACACGTGTCTTCTGTCACCTCAAAATTCGTGGGGCCCTGGAAATCCCGTTTTTTCCACTTTCAGTCAACAGGCTTGCAGGGGAGGGCAGAACCAGCGGTCAAGATAGCCAGCATGCACATCACACCTAAGGGCCCTAAGCAGGGCTGATAGGAACCCAGCCTCTGGGGTGGCCTTCACTGTACCCCAAGATTATGGCCATTCTGATTGGTTGGTTTTTTTGTTAAATGTTTTGAATTTAGCAGGTTCCTTGGGAGATAACTTTGCAAGCATGCGTTTGGGGTGCCCATTCTTCAATGTCTCATTTTTTGTCCTGTGACTTTCCAATAAATTGTGCTATTAATTCAACAAGAGTACAAGAACACTTTTCAAATATTGGTTTAAGAACCTAACTTGTGTGTAAGGTAAAGTATCCTTCTGTCAAATTAATCTGTGACTCATTTGCATGGGAAACCCAAGAGGCCAGCATTAGAGGGAAGTTATCCTGGTGGGACGAGTGATGCTGGTTTCCAGCCCCAGGAGGAGACCCAGTGACAATCTGTCGAAGGGGTAGGAGGTGTGGGGAGACGTCAGGTACAGGATCAGACTGAAGGAGATTTCCTCAGACAGCTAAGGGTGTCTTTGTCTCTTTTCTGGCTCTATTTTTCTCCTCCCCTCCCCTTCTTCTTCTCCTCCTCCTGGTCCCTCTTTAAAAGCAGCTAAGACCCAGGACGGCTCAGCTTACTGGGGCTCCAGGTGAGGGTCAGAGAGCCGAGTATTGCAAGTCACCTGAGGCACAAGAGGACTGTTGGGGAAGATGGCCTCGTCAATCTGGAAAGGGGTGGGAGGTGAGGGGTGTGGAGGGTGAGTCGGAGACGACAGGCCTCCAGGGGCATTGTGGGAACTCCTGTGGTACCGCCAGCCTCGGTTCACTGGCAGCGACGGGCGATAAACCCAAATAACCCCAGGGTGCTCGTACGCCTGAGGGAATGGGCGCCGGGGAGACAGCCTCTCACTCCACATCTGGGCTGCGGCAGAGGAAGGAAGCAGCCAGGGTGCCCAGGGGGTCGGGCAGACACCGAGGGAAGGTGTGGAGTCTGGAGCAAGGAGGAGAGGGTCACAGGAGGCCGGGGCGGGCCTGACCAAGGTCTCTGGGGCTGAGCAGTAGAAAGGCCGGTGACCCCGACCCACAGCTTCCTGGCCCAGAGTCTGCCCTTCCAAGCAGAGCTCAAGGGGGCCACGAGGGGGGACACTTCTGCTTCCTGCTGGCTCCCCGCCAACCCGCTCACCTCACGTTAGCTCAACCGAGACACAAGTCAGCGTGTTACAAACTCACAGGTGTGGGGGCTGGGAGTCACTCTTTGGTATACCTTCAACTGGGGCTGGGGAAGCAGGCCCACAGATCAGTCTTCCCCTTTGCATTTTTTAAATGGCGGTACTGAGGATTGAAGCCAGGACCTTGTGCATGCTAAGCACCCACTCTGCCATTGAGCTTTACACCCCCTTTCCTTTATAGCCTCCTACACATTCTAGGTACCAGGGGTGCAGAGGTGAATTAGACACAGAATTTGGACAGTGTTCAATCTAAAGGCTCAGTTTATGTGACTTACTCCAGGTCACACAGCTAATTAGTGACAAAGGTGAAGCCAGAGGGGTTGGCTTCAGTCTCCAGACCTTTCTACTCCCTGCTCTGCCACTTCTAAAGTATATTTGTGCCATCACTCTGAGAATATTCTCTGTGTTTCAGCTGGGGAGGAAAGTTAACCCAGTGCTTCTCAAGACTCGTGGTGTGTGTGGGTCGCCTAGAAGCTTGTCAAAAGGCAGATTCTGATCTGGTAGGTCTGGCACACGGTCGAGGTTCTGCCTTGCCAACCAGCTCCAGGGTGACGCCCTGGGTGCTGGTCTTCAGATTCCAGTTTGATGACAGGGCCTTAAACCACTGCCATTAATTAGAAGAGCTCTTGGGTGAAAGGATTCAGAACCTGCCCCTCATCTGCAGTGATGGGAGTGGAAGAGGAACAGATGATCTGGGGGGGACACCGTCCACGGGCGGAGAGGGACATGCGTGGAAGAGCGCCACATTCGCCGTCCCATGGCGAGACGATCTCTGAGCTCCCTGCCGCGTCCAAACCTGTGAGAGCTGGTCAGTCATTGCAGCCAGCCCCTAAGGTCGATGGCGGGTAAATTATCGTGCAGCCTAAGTAAGCAGAAGCGCTGACTGCCCACGTGGTATGACCTGAGAAGGACCAGACTGTTTTCCCTTCACTCCTAACTTTCACCTCCTTCCACAGCCACAGAGATGAGGTGCCAGCTTCCGCTTGCGCCTCAGGCCAGCCCTGCTCCCAGAGCTCCCTCCCCAGGTCTTTACATTTCTCTCTTTTTCCAATCAAACCTGACCTCAGGTTAAAGCTGTTCAAGTAACTTACTCAGATAAGCGAGGCTAAAAATATCCGACTTTCACCAGCAATAGCCAGATAATGACGTCCAGCATTGCTGTCAGCCCCAGTTAAGCCCGGACCCCCGGGGCTGCAGATGATGCGTCTCCAGCTCATTCTGTCCTGTTTGTCCGGAGACCAGAGCCGGAGTCCACTGTTGCGGAGGGTCCCCACCCTTCTCTGCCCTCCTCCTCTCCAGCTCGTCCTCCCTCCCCCTTCCCCACCTCCCCTGACTGGCCAGCAGCACCACCCACCCCCACCTCCTCCACGGTTTCCCCACCCCCTCCAAAAGAGGCCGCTTCCCTATTTTCCTTGGTGCTCCAACATTTCCCTGGGGTTCACGCTGCTTGAAAGCACCCCTGTTGGACTTGCCCTGGCTCTTCTGTCACACTACTAGCACCAGGGCTCCAGCAGGTCCAGTCGGCTGAGTGCACACTGCCCAAGGGGAACAATCCAGAACAATCCAGGGCCCTGGCCACTCTGAGGCCCCTGGGGGTCTCTCTGGGGTGTGTGGCCAGGTGTGTCTTTGGGAGGACAGGGTGTGCGGCCCACACAAGGAGGCGGCTGGGTGGGGGAATAACGCAGCTGTCAGCAGAGCCACGCCGTCTCCTACCTGCAGCGAGAGCCAGGTGCTCAAGCACAGGTGGAAGGACTCGGCTTGCTCTCCGGGAGGCCACACCAGCTCCCGGCCTCGACTCTGCTGAGTTTCAGAGGCAGGAGTTGCTGGGGTGGCCCCTGTGTCCTGTTTTCCTCCCATCAAGTCCAGCTCAGCAATAAGCCTGTTTCTAAACACAGATCCCCACCCTCATCGCTGGATACTCCCTGTTCAGCTGTGAGAGTTAATTTCATCTGTCAACCTCCCTAGGCTGTGGTGCCCAGTTCCGGACAAACCCCAGTCTAGATGTTGCTGTGAAGGTATTTTTAGATGAGATTAACATTCACATCAGGAGACTCTGAGTAAAGCAGATTACCCTCCAGAATGGACATGGACCTCGTCCAGTCAGCTGAGGGTCTTAATAGAAAAAAGACTAAGGTCTTCCCAGGGTGAAGAAAGAACTCTGCCAGCTGATAGCCTTCAGACTTAAACTGCAACACCAGCTCTTCCCTCCGGCTCCAGCCAGCCTGCCCCGCAGATTTTGGACTAGCCAGTCCCACAATGGCATGAGCCAATTTCTTAAGATAAATCTCTCTATAGATGGTAGATTAGATGATAGATCAACAGATCACTAGACAGATAGGTGGAAATAACCTATTTATCTCTTTATCTATTGAGAGATAATAATGTAGCATACTCACACATCCTCTTTGAGAACCTAACACACCATCGGAGGCAGTGACAGAGCTCCAAGGGGACAACCCGG